CTATTAGCGGGTCAACATTTGGTCTACGGGCCGCTGTCGTTTGAACGAGTACAAGACAACAAGCAAAAACGTTTGAAAGAGCAGACGACAGTTTGAAAGATCAGGCAGCCGTTTGAACTTGAAGACATACTGAATGTAGTCCGCAGCTTGTCCATACAACTTGGTGGTCTTCCCGCGTTCATGTTGCAACGATACAAATCAATTTGACGACCAGAGGTATCCGTGGATCAAACACAAGTGCTTACCGCACAAGCAATCGTTGTCCGACGGCGTCTGGGTTTTATTTTTCAGAGCCCTTATCAGCGTTCTCGGACGACCCGAGCAGGCAGAAAACACATGAAAACTAACCTTCAAACCTTTCCCGACTATTTTCGGTACAATCCCAGTCGCGGTGTTTTGACGATATGCAGGCTTTTCTCCGATTTCTTTTAATACAACACACGAATGGACGTTCCACATGGTGATTTACGCCCACAGCCCCAGAGCGGAAGTGCGCCCGACGCGCCACCACCGTGCAGTGACGTAACAGAACTGAGTTCGCGTAGAGCTTAATCCTTTCTATCGCGTGCACAGATTTTTATATGGTAGTCGTTTATAATGTTCATAGCTACCCTGTCACTATTGAATTAACAATCACGGCAGCTACCTAAAAAGGGGATGCGACACTCATGCAATTAAAGAGGGTGGCGGCATTTCTATGTCCCGCTTGGCCCATGGATTGCCTTTTCGTTCCCACTTTCCGCCGAGAAAAATAGCTAATGCTGCTTACGAGAACATTAAAGGTACCTATATCTCAAGAAAAAAGAACAGTAGAGAAAAACAAAATTAGGCAACACGCGCACATTGCAGAAAAGCAAAGGCAAGCGCCGAAGCGTCGCGATGCTTTTAGAACTGAGAGTTTCAGCCCATATCATCCTATGAGATATGAAACGCACGTTTCTTTTCGCAAACATAAAATAACCAGCAGTAAAGTCGGAAATTGGGAGGTTTCAAGAAGCCTAGTTAGCTATCAAGTAAAAAAATAATTGTTTGACGAAATAAAAAAAAAATCATGTACGCTTACTGACGGGCTCGGCGGGCCGTCGCTTCGAAATGCTTTTTTCCAATAGTGCTCCATTAGCTCACGGAAAACTTTTAAAACGTCCTATATATATATTTGTTAATCACATATGACAACGCTTTAACATTATATAACGCAGTTTAGTTTTCTTAAGTTCACTAAGTAAGCAAACAACGTGCGGAAGAGCCCTTTACAAGAGTATACTATAAATACTATCGATGTATAAGTTTTGTCAGACTGTGTTTGCACTGGAGTACCAATAAAAACTACGATCATGATCATGTGAAATTTAAATACTAACAAAATGACAGAAACAGGCGTTGTTGAATTATGCGAGGTATTGGTACCTCGCAGAAATATGCGAGGTATAAATATGTCTTCCTTTCAAACGCACTGATCAATATGACGAAGTCATATATGTCAAAGAAATTTTATCGCATTCATTAGAACACATAGAAAGCTTTTTATATAAAAATATTTTAAAAAATCGTATTTCATTTAAATGACGTAGAATTTTGTACTTTTTCTTTTCTTCTCATGTTTAGAGTGTTTCTTTTTTATAACCTATACGTAAATTAACAATATTATTATTTTACAATAGGCTTAGATCTAAAATTTTATTTGATAAGTTTTTTTTATGGCTTAAATAATTGTATGTCGAAAGCCAGCTCAATTCAAACTTGGCCCACCATTGTCAAAGATACAGATTCAAAAATACTTAATTTATATAAAAAAAACAGACTTAGTGTACTTTATCTCTTTCATACAAAATAATAAATCAGTACAAAAAGTTATCAGTGTTATTAAAAAGATAATCTAAACGTTGCGAGACTTCAAATTGTGTCACGAGTGAAAACTGCAAAAATCGCGAAACCGACCTGCTGTCCTTTCAAAACACAAAACTCAAGCACACACAAAAAAAAAAAAAAAATGCAGTTCTAATTTTCAGTGTTGCTCGAGTCACACATCTTACACCAAGATGCATTTTGTTCCAAAACTGTTTGAGAATTCATCATTTTTTCTTGCACGATTTGAGATGAAAGTTCCTATATATAAAATTACACGGGGCGATAAAAATAGATGGGGTTCGTCGGTTAGCCTACACTAAAAGGTGCATGCGAATAAATCAATACCGCATAAAAAATAAAATACACCGGTGCGTATAAAAAATAATTATTCCAGTGTAAAAGAAATTGCTTTTAGCAAATTATTTAGAGATTGCGTAGGAGCCTTCGGTAGTTACATGATTTTCCGAGGGATCGTAGGATTACTTTAGAAATCTCTTCATATAAACTACATTGGTTTACAAAAAAAAATGCGAAGGCAATATTAACTAAAACCACCTTTGCGCTAAGACATTAGTGATATGTCCACACAATGACCTCCGGCGTTTCTTGGTTGTAAGGTTGCAGTGGAAACACTATTATCGTACCTAACTTTTTATCGACTCCAACTATCGTATCAACTAATAATTATAGTTTAGTTTTATCGACGAAATAACAACACGTGGCTTCCTTGATTAAGGGGGGTTATGTTGAGCACTGAACTATGCTAAGATCATGCACAATACTCGACGAAAATTATAGCTGGCCAAAATCGTTATGACGACACGCGCCAAGGTGGCGTTGTTTTCCACAAAAAAACAGTGTTTGTTTTGGCGAGCTCGTTTTCGTATATCTAAAGTTAGGTTTTTTAGGTCACATTGCCAATTAATTTTTTCACAATTTTGTATTGTAGAATTGTCTTTGGTGACAACACAACCATAAAGAGGCGTGTTACAGAACGAATTTGTCAATGAGTAGGTGTGACAGTGAAAATAAATTGTTAATAATACGTGCCCTGTGGCAACACTTATGTCGCTTGTGTACACACAGTACGGCAACCTTTAAGGCCTGGGGCCCTTAATGGCAATATGAAAGCATCTAGCTATTATTCTGTATAAACACCCTCTGGCGATTTATGACATAAAACTGTCGCCCTGTCGACAACTTTCGCGGGATCGTGCGATGTAGTCACCCTAGGAAGGTCCCTGAGAGCCTTGTGCTCTCTTTATAGCTAATACAGTTTAACCAAGTAGCCGTGCATTTCTAGTTTTTCTTACTTGACTCGTTTAGGAAGTAAACATCATAGCCCCTATTTTGTCAGGGATCATACGCATAGGCTCATAAACAAGAGCTGGAGCCTGATCGAAGTTGTAGACGCGATGCCTACGAAATGCACCAAGACCGTTGAAATGTGGCTCTGACCGTATGAACGACTCTAAACAAGAGAAAATTGCCACGAGGATCCGAAAGAATACCGAAATATCCCGAAAACGCCCATCTCTAACTCGTTCATATGGGCTCAAGTCGTTCAAGAAGCCATCACATTCTCGACATTGCTCATGGAGGCAACCGGTCGAGCGGAGTCTCCTCTCGAGTGTTCGCATTCACCTCGAGACTGGCAACAATAGAGGGGGGGAACAACGGCCGTACCGAACGAGACCCACACGCCAGGAAAGAAAAACGAACGGCCAGGTCTCGCGGAAGAATGGCCGTCATTTAGGAACCCAACTACCAGCAATACTAAGAAGCCTTTCCCGAGAAACGTCCGCGTCACAACAAACAAGATCCACAAAAAAAGCAGAACACAGGCGGGTTCTGGGGAGGCAAAGAAGAATGAAAACAAAGGTATTCTTTCCAGATCGCCGAATGCTCCTCTTGTCACCTAGCCTAAATGAGCACAGATCCTCCCCTTCTCTGCCCGACGCCATGGCAGTTGCCGCGCGCATCGCTGCTTTGCCGTAACCCGACAAACGCGACAATGGTCCGACGACAAGCGGGGGGTCGGAGCAAAGGGAACCGCGGGTGATATTTTTATTCCTCTTATGGGTCCCACTGCCCGGTTGCCCTTTGCTTCTTCTTCTTGTTTGGCCCGCTTTGAGGTGGTGCCTGCCATCGCAGACACTATAGAAGCCATTCGGAATCTTCGCGTCGGAAGAAAACGATATCCATCGGGATTCCGGGCATTTTTGGCGTGAATCGAAGCGGCCGGCGTCTCATAACGGGGCTTCGGCAGTGGGGCGCCGATCGGAGGGGCGGGTAACCCGATGGCTTCACTGCGGGTCAGACACGGCCTACGTCCTCGCTCCCAACCCTCTGCTGGAGCCGCTGGCCGCGCGGCGGCTTCTGGAATGCTTGGCTCGACCGCGTTGCCCGGGGTGTTGCCGCGGCAATTGGCTCTCGACTGATGCCCCTCGCTTTGCTTCTCTACCACCGCGCGGCCCGTCGCCAATTGTTTTCTTGGCTTAGAGGCCAGTCGAAAGCGGGCTTACCGAAACAGAAATCTTTCTTGTTTTTTCCCCTCCGTTTCTCACATTTTATTCTTATTTTCGGTGAGGCGGTGCAGCTGCCTCACCAAGCTGCGATACACGAACGAACCCCGAGAAAAACGATATTCCCCCGAGGAAAAGACTTAGAACTCCGCACATTTCTTACAAGAGAAAATTGGCTAGCACCTCCACAACTCTGTATGCTGTATGGCAAAACTTGTTGTCTTTGAGCGAGTGAGTGAACGAAAAAATATTGTTTCATCAGAAGAAAAAAAGCAAAGTAGACAGGATGAACTTACATTCCAATTTAGCATTTTCTTCGAGGGTACTTCTTGCTTTTTCTGGTATTGTAATACGTAATGCCCAGTCCTGAGCAGTGTTTCGCAATTAAATGGGCCTATTTTAGTAAATTCAACTCTATTTGACTATAATTTGCAAGTCAAGTTTTGTGGCTCATCTGGTACTCAATTATGTTCAAGCATCACATAAGCGATATTAATATCCTCCAGGAAGAATATAACGTCCTGAGAAGATGGACACACTTGATAAATTTATGAAGCCTCGAAAGGCAGCCTGCAGTTGTGCTTTTGGTATAAAAAGGGAAGGGAGGGCGGAAAGGGACCGACTCACGTCAACTCGGATGCCGTGCACTTCGAAGTACTGTCCGGGCGGCCTGTCCGACGGCACGTAGCGGAAGAACTCGATGTCGTCCTTGTACCATTTGACTGAGTAGAGCAGGTCTCCCTCCAGGTCGTAGGCGCACTTGAGAAGGACCTCCCGGCCCACGCTCACCCGCTGAGGGACATCCAGCGACACGATGCGCAGTCCGAAGACTCCTGTCAAAAAGCAAAAAATATATACGCGTCTCACACGACGAAAGAAGCAGGAATGAGTGCATGTCACGAGGCAAAAGAAAACACACACACACGCAAATCAAGGACACGAGCGTGTGACATGACGAAAGAAACACGACTATCTACTCCTCAGCGTCGAGGGATCCTCTTAAAAATTGCGCATCTTTCAGTAGTTGCTGCGTCAATCATTCGAGACCGCCGTGGTCTCAGCATTTACTCTGAGCACGTATCGTACACAAGGAGTGCATTCACGTTCGGCGTGACCTTACCCAAGCAGCGCGGAATTCGGCCAAGCATTGGTCTACGGTTGGCGACGGTCTTCTGGCTAATGGACAAATAGTGGCCATTCATTGGCCACTACTTGGCCGATGGCTGATGGCCAGTGGCCAGTGGCCAGAGAAAGGCCAGTTATCAGCCCAAAGCTGGCCAATGTCTGGCCATTGGCCAATGATTGGCCAAATCTGTGATGACTGGGTAAACTCAGCTCGTATGAAAAACGAGAGGCGAGGACTCGGGTTCGATCGCGTTATTTGTGCCCAAGAAATGGCGACAACATAAGTTTGCCAGGTGATGTTTTTTTGTTTTTTTTTTCGTTTAAAGGGTCCATAACGAGGGTTAGAAACGTTGTTACGATATAGATTAAGAAGACTTCATTCTAAATGAAATGGTGAATTCCAGCAATGTTGCAGATGAGAATACGTGGGCGAAATGGGCGTATGGGAAGGGAGCTAGTATACAACGAACATGAAGGCACCATGGAGATAAATGAAAGAAAATACTTCAGGTACGCGTAATCGCAATATTTGACAAAACATTTTTTGAAAGATGAAATGACGGACTTTTGATTGTGTTGTTACGTCCTGTACGTATTTAACGTTAATTTGTACTGTATTTCTTATTGCGTGATCTAGACTTTTCAGTATCATTAAGTAGTGACAAGAACATTTCACACCTAAATAAAAGTATCAGTTGCACCAAAGACTATATAGTCGAACTATTTGTTTCGAGTAGTAAGAGAGAAAGGTTTACAATGAAAAAATAAAATAAGTACTACTGTATAATATAATTCTTCAATATAAACACCATGCGGCTTATAACAAGCTACCAAATATATCCTTTCAATCTAAACAAGAGTTGTAGTTTTTTTGTTTTTTTTTTATGATAACAGCAGCACAAATCTTTTAAGTTCCAGATGCGCGTGATATATTCGATTTTGTTTAACGAGTATGTAATTCAAATAAAATTGTTAAGTAGAATTCCATCTAAGAGATGACTTAATACTCAATATTTTGCAAAGCGCTGTAATGCGGATGAGAATTGGCAAACAAGGGTTTTGGAGCAAATGCTTGTAAACAATGTAACACACTATGTTTGTATAACAAGGCAGTTAAGTTTTTGTATGCTCGAAAAACGACCAGAGTAGGTAGGGCGATGCATACCTTGAAACTTCCACGGTTTGGTGAAATGTGCAGTGCACGACAGCATTAGGGCGAACACAGCATTGACAATTTTTCTGTAATTTTGCTTTAAAGTTGTGTGGGGCACCATAATATACCAACGAGGTCAGTGCTCTAAGTGAGCCCTTCCTACCGCACCATGAAGTTTTATAGCCTCTAAAGTTTACAAAAAACAAAAAAAAAAAAACAGAACGGCTCTTTTTTTTTTTTTTTTTTGCATCACCAATGTTGCGGTATGCAAAACCTTTTCGTGTGTTTTTCCTTTTCTGATAAATCCGAACTCTCTGTGGTGGAACTATGGCAACTGTGTTATAACTTTCAACTCTTGGAGCCACGAATTTGTTCTTGTGGTAGGAAAACCAGAAACGTGTAATTTCCGTGAGTTTTAGCTTGCACTCTGTTTCCACAAATGATGAAAAGGGCGTGACAAACACTCCTATTTTTTTCGCGTCGTCGTTTCGCTAAGTGGTTCTTGCTATTACTGTGTTTGTTGACCGCCATTGCGGCCTCGGTCTGTTTGTCGTAGTCAATATTGGGTGGCAATGGGAAAAAGCAGTTTGCGCTAGAACAACCGAGGTCACTCCTGTGCCTAAAAAAAACTAGTAAAAATTTGTTTTTTTAAAGAAACGGTTAACTTTTTTATAATATACAATGAGGTCAACTACCTTCTTTTTTTGTATTGCTACAACGAAAAGAAGCCCATAATACAAAAGTAAAAAAGTAATGAAAAGACGTTCACAGTTACAGTAACAAAGAGACGTTTACTTACAGTAACGAAGAAACGTTCACTGTTAGAGAAAAGAAGAGACGTTGACTTACAGAAACGAAGAGACGTTAACTGTTACCATATTATCACTGCAACAAAATTTCCCTTGTACTGTTCCACGCGATAAAAATAGACATTTTTAAGCGTGTTCTAAGCGTAACTGTGTTCACAAAATTTCGCAGGTTAATAAAAAACACTTCAAATGAAAACAAAAACAAAAAACAGGTTGTGTTGGAAAGGTTCTGTCCCTCCGACTCGAACAGTCGCAGAAGTGTCAAAGTATCCTAAAGTATAAACTGGAAAGAGCGTTCCTGGCTTTTTTGTATGACCTTCACTATATTTTAAATATATTACAAATGTTTCCTATTGACGCAAATAAGCCGTATGTTTGGAAACTATTTTAAATTTAATGAATGTTACTAAATCGCGCCGCAGAGAAATAGACTCTGCTGCTTAAAAATTTATTGCAGTGATATCCACAACAGAAGCAATTATAAGCATAAGGTGGGCTCCGTTGCCGCTTGTCGGAACTCGTCGAGTATGCGCAGGGAAATCGTGTGTATTTTTTTTTCAAACTCGCACTTCAGTTTCGTTGTGGCCGTCGTTTCCTGTTACTGCGTGTTTTAAAGCTAAAATGTACTATTTTGTAAGAGAATTTGGCCATGAAAAATTGTTTCGGCCCAAAGGTCTTGCCGGGAATAAACCTTCAGTGAATGCACTTCAACAACTAACCTGTCTTTTTTTTAATCTTTTTTTCTTTTGCTTTTTTAACGTTTATTACACATTAGTGACACACATCCACGTGCCGGTATGATTATTGTTTAGAGTTCGACCCCAAAAGCCGTGAATCCCTTAGCGTTAACTTTCCGCCCCGTGCCTCAAGCTGCGTGGACCAAAATGGTTGTTCTAAATAACCCAAGAACACCGGAATTGATTCCCGCTTTTGACCTTCAGGAAGTCTGTTACGTCTTTACATGTCATAACAAAGAAGTAGGTCAAGAAACCTGATCTCAACAAAGTTTGCAGCCAAGCAAATTTCTTATAAACTCTTGCTATTGGAGCCCGATAAGCAATTTAATATAAAAAAAAAACTTCAGAAAGCCCAGCGTAAATGAAATTATAATGCAACCCTTCTTTCACGCTTAGGCGTTTGTTTTACAAATTTTATCATCTCCAACAATTTAGCTAATATTTCCTTTTTTTTAGAGTTCGTTGACGAAACTAGTTTGGTTTGTGTATTGGGGCCCCTCATCACACATTCCTTGGAGATTCGCGCTTTTAAAGAAAACTTGACAGTAAAAACACCGATGGTCCGGCTTCACAATTTTATAGTTTACGAACACTAGTATTGTGAAAAGCTAAGCTGGCCATCTCCAAATTTCCCTCTTCACTGAACTTCTAACAACGCGGAGCACCTTTCATGCAAATTCTGCGCATAAGTCGAACATGTGTCAACGGTCACTGCGCTCACAGGAGAGAATACAGTCGTTCACTCCGGAGAAAACAAAAAATCTTTTCAAGGATATGTTTTCGCAAAACCGTTTACTCCAAAGTTATGCCATTCGCCTTTCTCCCTCTCTCTGGTTCTTTCCCGTACGTTCATTCCAACTTTTGAAAGCCGTCTCAAATTGCTCTCGCTGCGCTGTTGTACGACGAAAGACACCATGTCCACTTAGGTCTGCGCATCTGGAAATCTCTTTTCCCGGCAATTCGCCGGCCAAGGAAACGTTTCCTGCAAGTGTTCCCAGTTAAGCAGCAAAAATAAGCAGGCATTGAAAAAATTTAACAGCGTGCCCACATTGAAACGACGACAGAGACGCGTGGCGGCGAACGGCCAGCCCCGACCATCGCCAGCCGCGCTGCAACGGACTCGTCTTTTCGCTCCGCGACTCCTGAGATATTTACAGCTATAACATAAAAGCCGGCGGCCTTTCTTCGAAATGACCGTCATTCAAAGCTCGGAAATAAGAGCTGGAGCCACATTGCAGCCAGCAATGGGCAATGCCACCCATTCGTTTTTGCAGTTTTCATCTCTGCCCCGTTTTTATTCTTTTATCGTGCTCCAGCCTTTAATCTTGTAATCCATAAGGTGGGGCGTGAGGCATGTTCGCCAGCGCTCATTCAAAGTGCGAATGAAATTCCCATTTGCGTAAGGAGCGAGGGAGGGAGCGAGAAAGTTAAGGAGGAACAAAAGAAAAAAAAAAAAAGGGAGGCGAAAGATTACCGGTGCAAGATTGCTTCTTCCCTCCTTTTCCCTTTGTCGACAAAGCCGCCTCCTTCCCGTACATTTTCCCCCTCATTCCCTTCCGACTTTGCTTTCGATGTTCTGGTTGCGAACTCTGATCTCAAGTTCCGTATATCATGGCCTGCTCGCCGCTTCCCGCGTATTGTTCAACCTACTGTCTTTTTCTTCTTATTATTTTTTGTCTAACGCTGTCGCATTTTTATACGTATGCTACCCTGCCGTTTTATTTATTTTCTTATTGGTTTTAAAACGGGGCAGATATATAGACCATTCCATTCAGCGTTCTCTGGGCGGCACTATATTGTTCGACGGCAGCGCCCTCTCCACACATCCGGGATGTTCAGCGGGTTCGGCGGGGTAAAACGAGAGAGAAGGCTCGCGCCCGACTCCGCTAGCAGACGACAAACCGGGAGGTTACCGTTCTCCATCTTTGGGCTGTATCGACGGGCTCTACCGAACATCGAACTCTCGCTCGTGGCTGCCCTTGTGAAGCGGTTCGCGTTCTTAGAATAGT